GCCTTGTGACAGCTGATTTAAGAGAACAGCATCCTGCTGTGAAATTTTGTTTTCTCCTTGGGAAAAATGCCGCAGAAACTGTTGTGATGTTGAACACAGCTTACAAGAACACCGCTATGGGAAAAACTCAAGTGTATGAGTGGTTTTCTAATGTCCATTGATGAAAAACTTTCTGGACATCCGCCAACTTCCCTAATGGACAAAAATGTTGACTAGTAGTGCATTTGGAGTTCATTCCACCAGGTCAGACTGTTAATCAAACTTTCTATTTAGAGGTTCTGAAAAGATTGCGTAACAGTGCATGACAAAAAAGGCTTGATTTGTGGTACATGGGAGACTGGTTTGCTACCACAACAATGCACCTGCTCACGTAGCCATCTCAGTGCACCAGTATTTGGCAAAAAACAGTATGCCTCTCTTGCCCCACACATAACTCACCTGACCTCACTCCCTGCGACTTCTTTTTGTTTCCAGGAATGCAAAGGGACATGAAAGGACAGTGATTTGATGACTTACAAGAGGTGAAGGAAAAAAATGAGGGAGGTGCTATCAGTTATTCAAACAGATGAGTTGGGAAAATGTTTCCAAGAATGGGATTGCAGATTTGACAAATGTATTAAGTGTAATGGAGAGTACTTTGCAGGTGATAAGGTTGTTTTGTTAAAAAAAAACACATAGCTTTGAAAATAAATTCCATTTTGGGGGGGGGTACCCCTTCATATGTGTTACAGTAGGTCTAGTAGGTGTTGTGAATTTCCCTGTGGTATTTCCATAGTTCTTAAGTGAATAATCACACTAGACAATCTGGAATAGCAGATTCACCACATTGACTACTAGACCTGACAAGTGGGGGCTATTGATGGTAGAAAAAGCCAGGTGTTTGGAGGGCCTCTTCAGATATTGAAATCAATATATCTCACATTGGCTCCTGTAATCCACCTATTGAGTATCCTCCAAGGTCAGACAAAGCCCTATACAGATGATCTAAGCTACAAGTAACCTCTAAGATGATCCAAACTTTTGTGCTATAGAGAGTGTCTGACAAGCTTCAGTAAAATAATTTATTCTTAGGATTTGGAGTGAAACCATCTCCTTTTCCTACAATAATTACTCTTTCTTTGAGGAATGCTAATTGCTTGTGACTGGACCTCAGTGAAGACTGAATGTTGGACCATGAAAAATCAAAATGATCAAATGACTTTAACTCCCTTGTATGCAATCAGGTATATTGTTCATCAATCCATTAAGTGGGGTACATGTAGCAGTACACCATTATCAAGTGCTTGTGTTATCTAAGATAACTGAACCCGAGAAGGTCCAATTAGAAGGTGGCATTTACTCCTAATTGCATCACCACCTTTTTGAACCTAAACCTATGTCCTCATAGGGAGTGTCCTGTGACTAGTGACTGACAATGAATATGTTCAGACCTGATTTACTGTGGTTCTATATTGTATATTGCAACCACTTGAAATACTACTATTGTAGCACTATGATACTACTTGGGGGTAACTTTTAAGAACGGTAGGGAAGGAAATCATTTTAGTGGGCAAAACTCATGTTTATTTCACCTGGAAGAAGAGATG